TCGACCGCTTGTATGCGTCGGCCCGATCGGTTGAATCTCCTATCTCTAGGTGCATGCAGATCAATTCATCTTCAAGCTACACCGACCGGGCGAGTCTATCGACCGGTCAGATGCGCTCCACATCGGCGGACATTAGAGTCACGCCACCGATCGGGGAAGCTAGGAGCTCTCAGCATAAATCCCCGATCCGTCCAACTTCTTTCCACGACTGCACCCACTCGTGCCTCGAGCGCACAATCGTGTGGGGGCTGGGATGAAGGAAGTGTTTGCAGGCCCGTCGCTCGGTTACATCCTGACCGAAGAGGCTTGCGTATTTTTCAAAATTTCGTCAAGGCCTAAGAACCGGGTAATCCCGCTCAGGTTGGCCAATTTGACGACGAGTACTTACGGGCCCGTCGCTCGGTTATACTCCGACCATAGGGGCTTATGCATCGTCACCATTCTCGGCAAAGGCCTCGAGATCGGGTAAACCCGGTCGTATGGCCAAGTTGACGTCGAAATCTCAAAGCTCCGATCGGGCCGTTGGGCCATAGGATCGGGTCTCGAACAAGTCGAGCTATGCAAGACCGGGCCATAAGGCCGCAAGGTCGAGCATTAAGGATCGACATTTCTACGTTAATTAAAAGGAAAGGTACGAAAGGGAAGACGAGCGGCGTAACTTTTCATTCATAAAAAAGATGCACGGTACAACTCGGGACCGGGCTCCCAACTAAGGTCTCTTACAAAAAGAAGAAAAGAAGCCTAAATCTACTTCTTCGCCTCCTGAGCACTGGCGGTCGCCTCTTTCCCGCTCGAGGCAGCTGCCGACGAAGCCCCAGGCTCGGTTGCCTTGGCTTTCGGGGTCGGGGTAAAGGGTGAGGGACCGGGATCTGCCACGTCCGGGGGTAAGGCCGACAAGACCAGTTGGAGATCATCGGCGTCGAGGGCCTCCTCCAACCGCTTGCGGGTGCGTTCAAGCATTTTCTGCTTCCCGGCCGTAAAGGCCCATTTCCCGAACGAGACGATCAACTCGTTCCCGACCTCGTCCCCTCGGGCTGCTGTTAGGAAGGCCGTGCCCAGCTCCTTGTCCTTGAAGGCTGCCCGCACCAGCTCGCTCGGGTTCTCGAGCTGAGCCTTTAGCTCCTTGGCCTCTCCTATCGCCCGGCTGGCGACCTTCTCGGCGAGAGCCCGGTCCTCGTCGCTCTTCTTCAAAGCCTTCTGGGTTTTCTCCAGTTCGGCTTGGAGCTCCTTGATCTCCTTCAAGCGACGGGCGGCCGTCTTCTTGTGGTGATCAGCTTCCTCGGCCAATATAGCCCGACCTTGCAGGAGCTGAGCGGCCCGGGAAATCTGCGAAGATAAAAGACACTCGGGGTTAGCCCGATCAGCGACACTTCAACAAAAAAGCTGTTGGTTAAGAAGAGCTTACCTTGGCCAGGTCGTGGCCGATCCGTTCAGCCACTTGGGTCGGGGTCATCGTCCCCAGATCCTCCTTGATCGGCGCGGCGTTGCCGATCCGGGCCAGTATGGACGAGGAGTCCCTTTCTCGCCCGACCGAAGGGCTCGGGTTGTGCTGATCACGGCGGCGCTTCATGCCGCCTACCTCGGTCACTCCCCGCTCGGGGACCTTCTCCTTTCCCCGGGCGACCTCCACCCGAGTGATCAGAACGTCGGAGGGCTCGACGATGAAGCCCTCGCCCGTCGTCACGGTCGAGGCGCTCAGTGGTCGGCCGGAGGGGATTTCCTTCTCCCCGGATGGTTTGGTCTTCGCCTTCTTCTTGCCGCCAAGAGAGATCTTGGCGGGCGGGGGAAGGGGGGCATCCTCATCACCGAACTCGGCCATTGCTGCAAACAAACAAAGAAGAAAACCCAAGTTAGTGCGATCGTAATATAGAGTTTAGGTCGGGATAAACGGCTCGGGTTAAACCTTTCTTCCTTCGCCTCGAGGGCTTGGCGACCGTTACGCCCATCGGCACGGGCAGGTACTTTTCCGGCAGCTCGTATGTGGGGGGCGGGAGTTGAGCCGCCTCGAGGCTTTCAGCCGTCCGGAAGATTGTGTATTCGTGCACCTCGCTCGAAATCCGGCTGACCGTGTCCCTCAGCGCTTGCGTCTCGACCGGCACCACTTGTTTCCGAAAGTGGGTGCTCCAAGCGCGATCAACCGGGAGGATCCAAGGGTCGTATTTGAGGGAGAAAATTCTGTTTTTCCACCCCCTGTTGTTCCCGGGCAGTCCTTTGATCGCGCACATTTCGGCCCGGGACTGCAACATCAGGAACCAGCCTCCATAGTTGCCCGGGAGGACTTTGACCTGGTAGATGAAGTTGAAAAGCTCCATCGTGCAGGCGGCTTCGTGCCGAGCGCATATCTGCGGGAAGCAGGCGATGATCCGGTGCGCATTAGGGCAGATCTGGGCCGGGACGACCCGGTAGTAGGCCAAGAAGGCATTCAGTAGGGGGGTGAAGGGAATGGCGATCGGGGCCATCAGGGAGTCGTAATGCATCCCGATCCATTTGCCCCGATACCGATCGATGACATTCCCCAGCTGCCGGCCCGTGTCAAATTCTACCCGACCCGCGAGCCTTTCGGCAATCCTAGCCGCCTCGCCCTTGGTAAGCAGGCTCATTTGCTGTTCGACGTTCTCGCTGTTCAAGAACTCGAACTCCGCGACGGCTGGCCCGGCCGTGTCCTCTTCGGTCGGCTCAGGAGCCGGACTCGGGTGGTCCCCAACCACCCGAGTGGGCGTTTCCCTAACGCCTTCGGTCGGGGATCCTTGTCTCCCCGACGTGGTTCCTTCTTCTTCTTCCTCGCCGGAGCTCCCTGATCCGCTGGAGCTAGAGCTCGACGTCCCGGAGGAGCTTGTGGCGCTGTTGTGCTCGACGGCCCGATCAGGGGCTGGCGTTGCTCGGGGGCTGGCTTCGGGAGTGTAGGACATAATGTCCACCTCCTCGTCGCTGAGATGCTCGACCTCCTCATCGTAATCCGCGATCGAGGCGTTTTGGCTATCAGAATCCGTCATTTTTTCGATCTACCTAAAGGTCGGTCGGGGTTAGTAAGGGACTTAAAATGCCCGGGACAGTTAGTTGACCTAAGCAGTTCTACCTAAGCTGAAAGCATAAAGAAAAGAGAAGGACGAAGAGCTTACCGAGTGAAGAAACTTGGAGAAAAGTTGGAAGCTTCGCTTTGCTCAACCTGAGTATTGATCTGCTGCTCGGGGCTCTCTGAGGTTACCGACTGAAGCAGAAGAGTGAGGAAAGTTCAAATGAGGGCCCCAAAGGCCTATTTATAGGAGGGCATTTAGGCGGGAAATGGGCCAACTTGCGTGACACGACCCGCGCTGACTCCGAGGCGCCGGTTGCAGTCGCAGAGGCCGGCAGTGGCCGACACGTGGCGAGGAAGGGAATGACAGCTGGCCGGTCGGTTTAGGAGCCGACGGTTGGACTTCTACATCCCGTCCCGTTTTTTCCCGGACGATCAAAAAGGCCCGGGCTGGGGGGCTCTTGGTAGGGAATATCCCGACCGACATAGCTTCACCACGACCGAGATGCCTTTGTCCTTTCGTCTATGTCTTTGCAGGTAACAGGTCGGGCTCCTTGAGGAGAACCCGGTCGGGGACCGACCGGGAGTTGCCCGAGCGGTGGTGTCAACCCGAGCGGTAGTCCTCCGGCGAGAGAGCTGACTAAAGACACGTGGCGGTTCTCTACGACGACAGACAGGGCACCCGGGAGGAGGACACGTGGAGGCTACGTGGAGAGCATGCCGAACGGCTGGAACCTTGTCTCCGGCGTCGCGGCTATAAATACCCACAGTAGCTACAGTGTAGAGGACTTTTGGACGATCGATAGGTTGTAACTAGAGACTCCCGACCGCAGTCAGTCGGTACTCAGAGCAACCAAGTAGATTGTACTTAGGAACTCTACCTTGATCAATAAAGACTTTACCTGCTTTAATTGGTCTTGTGTTATTTATATTGCTTACGTAGAATTAGCAGTATCACATAGGTAAATAAATATTGAATTTGTTTATTTAAATCAGTAATTTAAAGTATATAAATGCAAGATAATATATGATAGATTAATTATAATTATCACTAAAATAAATGTTTGCAACTTTGTAATAACGCTAGTCTAAATACTTAGTCTAAAAGCGATATTCTAAATAAATCTTCATTACATGTCCTTTTTTTTTTTTTTTTTTTTTTTTTGGTAGTGTGTCATGTGCAATTGGGTTACTGATGGTAGCATAGACAATCGTTATGCTGTCGAACCTTGTCCACCTTGCAAGGTGGACACTGTTCTATATTCATAATTACTAAACTATATGTTCATAATTATAAAGTTATATATTCATAAATTTTTAACTTCATATTCATAATTATTGAATTCTATGTTCACAATTACAGAACTCTATGTTCATAATTACTAAATTATATGTTAATAATTATAAAGCTATATATTCATAATTTTTCATATTCACAATTATTGAATCTATATATTCATAATTATAGAAGTATATGTTCATAATTATGTTCACAACTCTATGTTCATAATATTTGAACTATATATTCATATTTATGAACAGTTTTGGAACCGTGTCCACCTTGCAAGGTGAACACGGTTCCACAGCATAATTTGCCTAGCATAGAGGGATACATCGTGCAATGAGATTATAGTTTAGGAAGCTTTAGATTTGTCTTGTTGTGTATATGACTGTGATCTTAGTTGTACTATGATCTTATTTTAAGTGGTCTTTATATTTATATATATATATTTTTTTACCTATTTTTAATAATTGATTTTTTGTAATACTGTATTAAAAATCATTTATTTATTATTTTTAATAACTATAAAATTATATTACAGTTAATACTTATAAAAATTTTATATATTTTTTTTATATTTTACGTGTGTGTATATGTGTATGTGTATTTTTCATATTATAAGTACATTTGAATTATTGAAATGTAAAATTTTCAATTCTCATGTAATATCTAATAACACAATGCTTCATAATATATGCTAATAGAATATGCCAAGTAATTTGTGCTCAAATGACATCTAGTGACTCTCCCATATGGGATGTCATGAGATTGAGCCTCAGTGGAGGCGGTGTTGACTCTTTGTGCTTCAACAGGTTGAAAAAGTATTGTTGAACATATATTATAATGTAATAGAGTCAGTCATATAGAGTAAATTTCCGAATGAATTTTGATGATTAATGTTTAATTTTATCATTTAAAAAAAATATATCTATCTACTATATATATACTAATAAGAGCCCAAGAGAGTTAGGCCTATAATTGGTACAAAAAATGGCGGTCACAAATTTTAATCAAATGAATGGCTCAGATTGATTAAAAGATTGATCAGATTTAAATTTTACACTAAATTTCCTAAAATACCCACACACCGTTACTAATTCCGTTAAAATTTTAAGAATGTCCGTTAGTTCACCGTTAACTTACTCATTGATTTCAATAAAAAAAAAGGTCTTAGGTTCGAACCTCATCCCAATCAAAGTTGGCATAATTAGTACTCTATTTTACTCTTATTAAATTATATAAATAATAATTTAGTAGTTACAACAAAAAATAATACATATGCATTTCTTTAATTTAGAATTATGTGTCCACAATGCCTTTATTCAAAAAAAAAATTATTCATTTTCAATAAATTAAATAAGAGAAATAATTTTATTAGTTATATTGTCTTTATTTTTTTCAATATAAAAATTCTTTATATCCAAATTTATTAATTGATTATATTCGCTACATTGTCCTTACAATGTCTTTATTCAGTGAAAAAAAATTATTAATTATCAATAAATTAATTAAAAGAAATATTTTCATTAGTTATATTGTCTTTATTTTTCTCAAATGTAAAAATTTTTACATTCAAATTCATCAATTGATTATATTCACTACATTATCTATTATGTTTTTTTGTGCACTATTTTTCTAATTAAATATCAAAGTTATAATACAAAATAATGCTATATATTTATTTACCAAGTATTTTATTAATACCATGAAAAAATTAAAAAAAATATAATTAATAAAGCCAACCATATTAACTACTTGAGAGATTTTGTGACAAATAGAGTATTCAAATCACACAACAAATTGAAGTGAGAACTACCTCGCAATGTCCTTGTTTGACAATCAGCAGTTAGCGAATTATACTAGCGGATTTGACCAGCGAATTTATTTAATTATTAACATTGGGTAGAAAAAATGACCGCCAAATTATTAAATCAAATGAATGGTTCATATTGTTCAGGTTATAATTTTTTTCTTTTAAGATTTTCTAATTTATCCTTAATTATATGATTATCCATTTAATTTTTCCGTTAATTCACCGTTAGTCTAATTCTAATATTAAAGTCTAATATAGAATTATAACTACACCATTAATCTAATTCTAATATTAAAGTCTTAATAGAACTTAACCACAAATCCTAATGTCGGAATCTCCTCAAACAATATTAGTATATATTTAATATTTTATGCCCTAATTTTTATGTGTTCTCCCTTATGTCCCGTATTTGGTTTCAACTATACCTATACAATTATTTTATTGACAATTATAATCAATCTTGATTATATTATCTTGCATTTGTAAACTGAGAATTACCTATTTAACCCGCACGGGCTTAGCTTAATGGTTTAGTGAGTAGTATTTGGGAGAAGAGACCATCGTTTGAACCTCGGCGGCGGCAGTGCGAGAATTATGTCCAAAGTGGGCAGATTCCTTGTGCGTATCAGCATTTGGCCCTGTCTACTGAACCATTGAGTCATCGTGATTTACAACTTCCCACAATGCTCTGTCGGGCCGGAGTGTGAGGGGGCCCTTGGGGTTGAGGACTCAACCTTTGGGAGAAGAATTACCTATTTAAATACGCAAATTCAACCTTCAATTATCTATGCATGAACAATTTCAATATAATCCTGCCTTAATATACTTTAAAGTACTTATTTAAAAAAAAAACATTGGGCATTATCCCAATCGCGCAATGCGCGTAAAAAACTAGTAAATAATATAATTATGAATAAAGTCACACAAATAGAATACTTATAAAATAAAAAGGATAGAACTCATGCATTAAAAACAAACTATAGAAATAAACATCATTATGAATTCAAATTCCTATAGAAGTTTAGCTACTCATGATAACAAAGAAATCACATATGTTCAAAATTTTCATCTCAAATACAACAAACAAAAAGGTAGAAATGTATAGTAGGAAATTCCTTATCTACTATACTAATAAGAGCCCAAGAGAGTGGCCTATAATGGGTAGAAAAAATGGCGGTCAAATTTTTTAATCAAATGAATGGCTTAGATTGATCAGATTTTAATTTTTCCTTTAAATTTCCTAATTTATCCTTAATGAATATGATTATCCGTTAACTTTTCCGTTAAATATTACCTTTTCCGTTAATTTCTGTTAGTTCACCGTTAACTTACTCATTGATTTCAATAGGATAAGAAAAGTCTTAGCTTCGAACCACATCCCAATCAAAGTTGGCATAATTAGTACTCTATTTTACTCTTATTAAATTATAAATAATAATTTAGTAGCTACAACAAAAAATAATACATATGCATTTCTTTAATTTAGAATTATGTGTCTACAATGTCTTTATTAAAAAGAAAATATTCATTGTCAATAAATTAAATAAGAGAAATAATTTCATTAGTTATATTGTCTTTATTTTTCTCCAATATAAAAATTTTTTACATTCAAAATTCAAATTCATCAATTGATTATATTCGCTACATTGTCTCTACAATGTCTTTATTTAAAAAAAAAAAATTATTCATTATCAGTAAATTAATTAAGAGAAATAATTTCATTAGTTATATTGTCTTTATTTTTCTCCAATGTAAAAATTCTTTACATTCAAAATCATCAATTGATTATATTCACTACAATGCCTATTATCTTTTTTTTTGTGCACTATTTTTTAATTAAATATCAAAGTTATAATACAAAATAATGATATATATTTATTTATCAGGTATTTTATTAATACCATGAAAAAATTTAAATTAATAAAGCCAATTATATTAACTACTTGAGGGATTTGTTGACAAATAGAGTATTTAAATCACACAACAAATTGAAGTGAGAAACTACCTCGCAATGTCCTTGTTTGACAATCAGCAGTTAGCGGTTAGCGTTAGCGGATTATATTAGCGGATTTGACCAGTGAATTATATCAACGGTCCGTAAAAAGATATTTGAAAAAATTAGATGTTTAAATTAACATTTAAAATGACCTAAGGGTATAATAATAATAATAATAATAATAATAATAATAATAATAATAATAATAATAATAATAATAATAATAATAATAATTTTAATAATAATTTTTTTTTTAAATATAGATGTGTTTTGGGGAAATCATTCTCAAAAACGTTAAGTGAAAATATTGTATATTGCAATGTTTGTATTTTCAGTGATTTGGAACAAATTGTTGCTTCAAACTGTTGAATAACCAAAATACTTTATTTAGCATTTTGATTTTTGAGTTACATCATATTTACCAATCATCCAATATCTTTGGGTTACATTATAATTAAAAATTTTAAATTTTTACTACATCTAAATTCCTTAAATTAGGAATTTCTTTATCCATAATAATTTATTCAACAATAATGGTTGAACTAAATGAACACTAAGCAAAACACCTAAATGATTGTTTTATTCAACAATAATGGTTGAACTAAATGAACACTGAGCAAAACACCTAAATGACTGGTACCGTTGATTCATTCATTGATCTTGTATATATGTGCATTCATTAAATATATTAGAACCCTTTGCAACCAAAATACTTACTATTTAAAAAAAGTTTAGTAACAATTATAATGAATCTCATATATTACATTGTATTCATATACTATAAATTACATATTTAAATAAACAAATTAGACATTAAATTACTTATGTTGAACTTCTCATATATAATCTTGCATTTATATACTTTCAAATATTTATTTAATTATAAACATTGGGTAGAAAAAATGACCGTCAAATTATTAAATCAAATGAATAGTTCAGATTGTTGAGTTTTTAATATAATCTTGTCTTGATATACTTTAAAATACTTATTTAAGAAAAATATTGGGCATTATCCTAATCGCGCAATGCGCGTAAAAAACTAGTTATAAACAATAAAATTAATTAAATTTTATGTTTTGCATCAAGGGTAAATAATAGTTATTTAAATAGTTATACTCCCTCTGTCCCGAATTGGTTGTTTCATTTGCTTTTTGCACGCTTTTTAAGGAATTAAAGTAAATGCTATGTATTTTCCAATTAGGCCCTTCACTTTTTCACTTTTGGAAATAAAAGCAAAAGCCATAAGGGTAATTTGGGAAAAAATAGAATGATGGTGATGTTCAATTTTGGAAAGAGGATAACATTTTGGGACAAACTAAAAAGGAAAGTAAGACATGCAAAATGGGACAGAGGGAGTATTTGCTTACACACATAAGCAAAGAATTTTTATTTCCTTATCCAACAAACGAGAAAATACAAACCCCACCAACCCCATCCCACCCCACCAATCTCATGAATCCAACCAGTTACTTTCTTACAAAAACTATGGCTCTATATATCTCCCAGGCCACTTCCCTGAACCTCTTGATAACTCCAACCTAACCACTATCCCTTCTTCAACCTCCACGTACCCACCCCAATTCAACCCCATATAGTCTAACCAGAAGCTCAGCGTGGTCAAACAACGATGGGATAGATAGCTTTGGGTTTTACGTTTCTGGGTAAAAAATATGGTCTTGAGCTCATGCAGATTAGAAATGCGATTTACCTCAGCCGCTGAACAGTGAATATATCATAATATCTATCTCAATGAGCACGTACATTTTTGTAAAGACACAAATCGAGGTGGAGTAAAGATGATATGATGATATAAATTGCATACTGAAAGGCTTAAGATAGGTGGATCCAATATCATACAATCTAGTATAATGCATGTTTTCCAATAATGTAATAGCATTTCTTTCCTCTAGTATAGGGGAGAGTGTCTAACCATGATTCAAGTTATGCGATGCCCAAATGAACAGACCTCAAATGGTTATATATAGCATTCATCACTGATTTCATAAAAGGTTAGGTTTCCCACATAGGCGCATTCGATGTGGTTGCATCCATCCGTCACCTTCTCAATGGTGCACTTACACATTGGACACATCTTCACGTTCACCCTCCCATCCGCCTTCTCCTTCAATGACAAGTGTTGGTTTTGTGACCCGGGGTGATTATTTGACAGACCAACATAACCGATTGAATGAGAAATGAAGTGTAAGAAATAAATAGAGACAAGAATTTTAACATGAAAACTGAAAGGTAAAACCATGGACCTTTACAATTCCACCATGTAATGATGCATTCTTTTTTTAACCGAAATTCTTGGCCTTTGTATTTTGGTGACTCAATTGAGTGCGCTTTGTTTTGACCAAATGCACCCACATGTAATTCTTAACATTTTCCTAGGACACAATATAACCAGTCAAAAGAAAATTCCATGCTTCTTCATAATTCTGCCTTTGCACGCACATGTATATATGAATAAAAACCAAGAATTTGGAGCTTTGAGAATTGAATTTTCTTACTTTCCTTTTCCCTTATTACCACGAAAATATACATTTCCTTTGTTGTTGTAGATTTTCCTATTGAAGCTCCTACATTCAAATCTGCCAATACATAGAAATTGGTCGAACATCCTGCCACGCTACTAGTTAATTTCATCAGGATTGAACTGATAGAGGCACACGACTTTCGTCGCGCTCTCCACAGACCTTGCCAATGTTGGTTTCGTAACCCAGAGGTAGTCACTCAACGGGCCAACATAACTGATCAAATGAGAAATAAAATGTAAGAAATAAATAGAAGCAAGAATTTTAACATGGAAACCGAAAGGTAAAAACCATAGACCTTTTTAGGCGGTACCAAACCAAAAATTCACTATATTTTAAGTATTTTGTACATGTATAGTTGTTTTCTCCAAGGAGATGGAGCCCCCCTTCCGGTTCCTAACTACTCTCTTTTATAGTAGAAGAATGAGTAAGGTAGAGGGGGACTAGGCTCCAGATAATAATTGGTGGTAGCTAGAATGGGTGATTAATGTGATGGAGGTTATTTAGGAAATGGAAGGGTAATTAGGAAATAATTTAATGCTGACTTGATTATCCCATTGCCTTTTAATACATTCTTCCATGCCTTCTTCCATGCCCGACTGCCTGTTAGGTGGTACCGATTGGGTGCCCATGCTGGGTATCCATCAAAAAGTCTAGATCAACTTTGAACTCCTTGCAACCATTGTGCAAACAACGCGATGGGAAACCACCCCTGCTTCTGATTGCAATCTCGCACTGCTCCAACAATTAAGCACAAACGATAAAAGACATGGAGACAGCGTTGGAGCATGTAATTATCGGCCCCCATTTCACAAGAGAAAATTGGGCATCTTGCTTCATCTTCGTTAGCTTGGGCAATTTCGTATATTGCATCATCAACTCTTTAGATGGCACAAGTCTTTAGTACCACCTTTGACATGAATGCAATGGTGTTTGGAAACATCTCTTTGAGCCCTTTAAGGTCTGGTCAAAACATATGAACCACTCTTTTCTGCAGAGATACACTATATGTTGCTTGTTCAATTCTCATGTATTGCAAGAAGTGAGTTGACAAATTTCTACTATGCCATGTCAACCCTGTTCAAAGAACTAAAGATCCTCACAACTAAATTATGCTAACAAGTCAATGTTGGTACATATATAAAGTCGCTTAATTAAAAAGATAAAGAAACAATCATATCAAAGAATACTATACCTTTATAAAGGTATAAAACTCGTTTCAAGAATCATAAAGGTATAATATTCTTTGATATGATTGTTTCTTTCTCTTTCTAATTAAGCGACTTTATATATGTACCAACATTGACTTGTTAGCATAACCTAGTTGTGAGAACCTTTGGTTCTTTGAACATGGTTGACATGGCATAATAGAAATTTGTCAGCTCACTTCTTGCAATACATGAGAAATGAACAAGCAACTTATAGTGCATCTCTGTGGTGAAGCTTTGCCTCCTGATTTAATGAAAAGAGTGGTTCATATGTTTTGACCAGACCTTAAAGGGCTCAAAGAGATGTTTCCAAACACCATTGCATTTATATCAAAGGTGGTACTAAAGACTTGTGCTATCTAAAGAGTTGAGTATGCAATATACGAAATTGCCCAGGCTAACGAAGGCTAATGAAGATGAAGCAAGTTGCATTGTTGGGGACCTTTCTGATCTAAGTAATAGGAGGAAGATTTGTTCGGTGTGAGCCAAGCACAAGGTCCTCTGACAGAGTAGTTAAGTACATTTCTGAAACTAAGATCTCTGAGGCCGGAAATGAACTGACAGATAGAAAAATCTTGTGTTTGTTCCTCCTCAGAGGAGCTCCAGTAGAAAATCCTCCGCTCGTTGAAAACCAGTTGTATTACACAAGTCCGAAACTCATTGTTTATTTGATGTATGATGTAGAACTTTGAAAACCGTAGATTCTGCAGGGTGCTAAGCAAAAAATGAAAGAAAAAGGAAACAAAAACTTTGTAAACAAAATAAAAACATTGTAAACAAAAAGAGTATGATGCAGCAGTAACGTACAAGCTCTAAACTCCAAAACTGAAAGGAAAAGGAAACTAAAAATTTGCAAACAAAAAGCATCTCCAAAAAAACTTACGGAAAAAAGAAAAGACCAGAACACCCCAAAACATCGTGAAATTTATAAAGTAATAATAACTGAAATTTAAACAACAAAAAAATGGTGAATTGAAACTAAAGATTGACCTGCGTATGAGCTTGTTACTGCGTTTCTCCTTAACATCTTGGGCATTTGCCATAGGCTTCTTTAATAATGAAGCCTGACGCTTCTCTTTTCCTGCCCATCCGATGTGGGAATCAGAAGGGCAAGGATAAATAAGAGGGCGTTGACCTCCCCTTTTAATGAGGGAGCTCAACTCCCTCTTCTTAATTTCTTTTCGATGTGGGATCAAATTTGATCCCACATCACTTTTTTTTCATTTATTATTATTATTATTATTATTATTATTATTATTATTATTATTATTATTATTATTATTATTATTATTATTAAAAATGTCCTTTTTTGTCTTTTACCAATTTATCGCTAATATTAAACAATTAATTTGATCAAATATCTTTTTACAAACCGCTAATACAATTCACCGATAAGTCAAACCCGCTAACATAATCCACTACCCTTTATCTTCTCATACACTATTAAATACAAACCAGTGAAGATAATATAATACATACCCAACACTAATGCCCATAATATAAGCATAAATTTTGGTATACAATAATATTTTGTTATTAAATTGATGGCAAATATTTTTGAAGTAAGGGTAAAATAGACCACCAAACTGTACACGATAATGCAATTACGCTACTGAAGCTAAAAAAGAAAAAGTTAACAATTAAATTCTTAAATTAACCCTTTTCATGCAATTTTTCTAATTTCCTAGTTTCTAACTAATTGCCCAATTTAAAAATATTTTTTTAAATAATTTTAAATAAAATAATTATTAAAAAAAAACAAGATATAAAAACAACTTCGCCTCCATGGCCGAAGACGGAGAACGCAACCAGAGATGAAGAAAGTTTCTTCGTTTCTGGCCGAGAGACGAAGGTCCCAATGGCTGGAGGTGAAGACTGGTTTTTCGTTCCGGCAATGGAGATGACATTGTTTTTTTTTTTTTTTTTTAATAAATAATTATTTTATTTAAAATTATTTAAATTGGGTAACCTTTTTAGAAACTATGAAATTGGATAAATTGTATTAAATGGGTTAATTTAGGAATTTAATTGTAATTTTTTAAAGTTTAGTGACCTAATTGTATTATGGTGTGTAGTTCGGTGACCTATTTAACCTTTATTTCAATATGTTTATATGACAACTGATGAAAAAATGTGTACTGACATTTTCTTTGTGTTGGATTTAGAATGAAGTAAACTTTTATTAAAATTGAGTTAATTCTTAACTGTGTTCATTATATGACTAACATAATCCGAAAATATTTTTGCATTATAGGACTGTTGAAAATTTTAATATAAATAAATAGAAGTCAACTGATACCGTTCATTGCTATTTTAGCTAGGGGTGAGCATAAATCGGGTTCAAAAAAAAAATGTCATGGGTTCAACCCGTTTGACAGTATTTGGGTTGGATTTGACCCGCAATAGGCCAGACCCGAAAAAACAAGTGCAATATGGTAGTATTCGGTTCGGATTTCGGATCGCTCTCTTAAAATTCGAATATGACCCGTAACCTGATTTACATATGTAGTATATAAGGCTTATGTTAGGGTTTGAGAGCATCGGCCCTCATTTCGTTTCCGCTACTCAGCTCATCCCTCTCACTCCTCACTTCAACACCTCTCGCCTCCGTCTCTTAACTAGACTGTCAGACGCCACCATCAGCCCATCGTCAGAGACTGTAGTCTTCTCCTTCTCCGTCTAGACTGTTTCCGTCTCTCTGCTTCTCACCCTCTTATTAGGTCTTAGTCACTCCATCTCCAACCTCGCCTTTCCGTCTCCAGCTTCGTTTCACCAACTCTCTATGGGTTTGTGAGCCAGTCTCTGACTATCCACCTTTCAGGTAAGTCTCCTCTAACATCATATCAAAGTTTCAAACTCATTTCCTCATTCTTTCACTTCTCTACTTTTCTACATACGGTTTAGGAAACCCCAGATTCCGGTGACCTCCTTCGAATCGTTGCATTCATAACTTCTCTGGCTATGAAATCATGAGGTAACAACCTAACAGCGTAACAAGTATATTTTTACATCTATTTGTTTTTCATTTTTTCAAAATAATTAAGGTTTCATGACTTATAAAAGTTTTTTTTTAAAAACTTTTCTTTTGTGACTTCGATCTAAACGGTATAATTACTATATAAATTGACTATTAAGGTTATATGACTTTAATCCATAAAGTGTATTACAGATTTACAACTTTAATATGTATGACTTACTTTTGTTTTTTTGTTTTGATTTTCTTTTTCTTTTTCCAGAAAATTAATGTTAAGTCAAGAAAATTATTTAATGTTTCCTTTAAATTGTTTTAATATTATATAATGTTCTTAGGGATTCCCAGTGTGTTGGATCACCTTCTTATCTTGGAATGTTCATAAATGTCCATAGTCACTGTTTTTCATGTTTATTTTGTTAATTTATATATATATATTTTTTTAGTTTTGTATACTCTGTTAGATAAAAGAAAATAAATTGATGAAATCTTAAATATAATAAAGCTATATGGTTTGGGAAGTAATTAATGTTACAATTAATTACCAACACTATTATTATTACTAGCTATAAATATAAAATAGCCACAACATCTTTTACTATAAAAAAAAAGCACAACATTTGAAAAATAAAATAGCTATTTTTTCTCGCCCATAGCAAAGGATTACATTTATTGAATTAATGGAGTTATTAAATGTTATGATATTAGTATTAAGGATTCCGATTCCCGATTAATAAAAAATATGAAACGGTGCAATATTAATTAAATCTCTGGCTTTACAATGAAAATCTATTTGATATGCTTTTGTTATTTATGGTGCTTCTTGGGATTACAATATTAATTAAATTTTTGATGAAAGCCTATTCGATATCTGAAACAGTGCAATTAATGCAAGCCTTTACATATAATTTTTCTCCCTCTCAAATGCTTCAAAGAAATGACAGAAGCGAGAAGGGATGAAGAAAGCAAATGCTGCGGGCCGTGGGTCAATTATTGGACTTCAGAATAAAAAAAATTCATTTGAGCCATAAATAAAAATTTAAATATATATAAATGTATATATCGTATGAGTCTTTAATGTTTTTATGGATTTCTAAACTTAGGACTTTTAAAAGAAAAAAAAAATACATTTGAATTATCTCCACAAAATGTGATCTTGGACTTATAGAATGACATTTGAGTTTATGGAATGACATGTGCATAAAGAATATATTATATAATCATATAAAAATGTGTTCAACTAGAGTTTAAATTTACTCATACAAAATTTGAAATTTGCTTTCTAAATGTAATTATCTGAGTTATTATTCATATTGTGAAAATTATAATATAGATGAAATACAATTAAGAATAAATCAATGTAATTATGTAAATTCTCTCTATAAGTTTATTTGAATATGTACATAATTAGAGATTATATTAACCATACAAAATTTTAATTGTAATTTTGTATTCTATAAAAATAATAAATACTTGACCAATGAAAGCTCAAAAATATTATTATATTAAACAATTTAAATTTTTTTTATTTTTTTATTTTTTTTATTTATATTAATAATAACATAATTTTTTCCCCGTGCATCGCGCGGGTGAATTACTAGTGATAATAATAGATGAGTAGCTATCCAAGCCAAACTCAATTGCAGTTTACATTTTGCATTTTGCAGTTCAGTAGTGTGTATAAATGCTACATATTTTCAAAGATACAAAGGTAAGTTTTTATAATTCTTCTAATGAATTTAGATAATTATTAGTTAATTTAATTATAATTAGTTATACTCTTTGATTTAAGAATGCTTTTGGCTTTTGGAAATCTTTCAATTCACAAACTACTGAAACATCAAAATGTGAAACTGTCAACTGCCATGAATCCTTGATAATGATTTTTTTGGTAAATATTTTCATATGTTAATTGATTTTTCAATTCTAATCTAGTAAACAGGTTTTAGTTTACTCATGTTAATCTTTTATTGTTAATAGATTGTGTTGGATACTGCCAAGTGATGAATAATTAAAAGAAGAATGCCTAAATTAAAAGAAGAATGCCTAGATTGTGTTGGATACTGCCAACTTGATAATTGCATATAATTGAACTATGCTTTGACATTTTGTAGTTTGCAGCAGCTCCTGTGCATTTCAGCAGTCTGGTACTCTGGTGGCACTCAAGTATAATTCCTACTTATGTTTTTTAAGACACAAATAAATTTGTATGATTATTCTTAGGAATTTATATTAGATAATGATTTATCAGGGTTGTAAAAATCCCGCCTAGGCACCGAGTAATCGGCGCCTAGGCGCTAGGCGCCCATAGGCCGTGGCGATTTCCGCCCTAGGCTCCCGCCTAGGAGACCAACCGCCTAGGCGCCCGCCTAGCGCCTAATTCAGCCGCCTAGCACCTAACTCGTCCGATTACGCCGAGTTAACTCGTCAATTTCTGTCGAGTTAGTCGAGTTAACCCGACCGACTCGACCTTGCTAATTTGATCCATTTATATGACATATACATATAATATGACATATATACACTTGTAGACTAGTTTGATACTTTCAATCTTTGGATGATTGAAGTATTTGGGTATTTCATTTGAGTTTTTTTTTTTTTTAAATATTCTTTTGATGTTATGACTTATGAATTGTCATTATGCCATTTATTTGGATGTGTTATTTGATAAAATTTTGAAAACAGCCTCATTAAAATTGTCAAATTGCAAGTCTGCTACTGCTTTTTTCGCGACCGCCTAGCGCCGCCTAGATTCCGCCTAGGCACCGACTAGGCCGCTTAGGCGCTAGGCGCTGCCCGGGCGCCCGACTAGCGCCCAGCGCCTACTGCAACCATGTGATTTATTAATTTAATTCTACTTTATTTATTTTTTATGTGAATTCACAGGATTGTGCATATTAGGACTAGTATTAGGATTCTTGTATTTGAGTCATAGTATGACGCTCTATTATAGTCTCCATATGATTCCTCTTGTATATATATTCCCCTTACATGTACATTGTAACTACTGTTTATAATATACAGTTTCCTACAGTTCTCATCTGGTATCAGTTAAGCTATGGTTTTTTCCTCTATTCCAATGGCTGCCGAATCTGCTAACTCCTCCGAACGAACCGTTTCCAATGCAGCTATCACGTCTTCCACTAGCTCTGCTGTTACTTCTCTTTCTACTGCTCATCACTTTATTAGTATTAAGTTTACCCATAAGAATTATCTGTTTTGGAGAACTCAAGTCTTACCGTTTCTTGACGGGCATGGTCTGATGCCGTTCATAGATGGGTCACATCCCAGTCCGACGCCCTTTCTCCCAGCCGTAGACGGCGCTTCGCCGGCCCCAAATCCCTAGCATGCAACGTGGTTTCGGCATGATCGAGCACTTATGTCTATGTTGATCTCTTCTCTCAGTGAAGAAGTCATGCACCTCGCCATTGGACGACGTACATCACGGGTGGTTTCGGAGTCAATTGAACAGTCTTTGGCTTCCGCATCTCGCGCCCGCTTGTTAAATCTTCTTGGCCAACTCCAGTCTCTAAACCAGGGAGATTCCACGGTTGCTGATTATATTGTTCGTACCCGTATTATTTTGGAGATCTTGCTTTGGCCGATAGGCCGGTCGGGTTAGACGAGATGAATCTTTATGCATTTTGGGGTTTACGGCCAGAGTTTCAAAACCTAACCGCATCTCTCTCCATCCACGGTACCGTAGCCCTAGGCGAGCTGGCCAACTTTCTTGGCGTTCAGGAGTTCATCCGAGGAACGGCTCCTGGCGCACCACCGGCGGGCCTTCGCTATTTAGCGAGGCGGGCAGACCTGTCGTGGAGGCCGCGACAATAACCGCAGTGGGCAGAACCACAGTCTCGGTGGCCAGCGTGGAGGTGGCGGCGATAGATCGCTGGTTGGCCGGGGGCGGTCAGCGTGGGCGCGGCGGCAATGGCGGACCGCCGATCTGTCAGATCTGTGGTCGTATGGGACACTCAGCTTTAGCTTGTTAGAATCGTTATGATCCTCCTCCGCAAGGAAATTTGACATATCAGAATGACCACTCAGATGGCTCTCAAGAATGGTGTGACACCCTGAAATTTATTCCAAAACCTTAATTAATTTCTTTGAATATTTTCCTATGTATAGATTTAATTATCCTATCTATACATTTGGACATCTTATAATTATTGCCTTAATTCTAGTCAAGGAATTTATATTGGCCCAATTCCTTAGGCTTTGAATGGATTCATATGATTGAACCTTTATTAAAATGCCTTTGTATGGGCCTTAGTAGATATACAAATATATATTCCATAGCCCATTTAATAAATGTTGTAAGCCCAAACTATAGACTCTCTAACTTATGTCCCAAACACTTATGTTACAACCTAATGTACACACAAGTGTATCCCTACCCTTAGCTAGCATCAAACCTAGATCATTTTCAGCTCTCCCTTCTCACCTTCCCACACCATTTCCACCATTTCTCCTACCAAGAATTACTCTTCATCTTCCACCCAAGAGAACTAGTCAGGTTCCCACCTTTCCTCTTCACCAAGCTTAGGAAGGGTAAGGCATAGCTATCTATAGCTTTTATTTAAGGTTTTCCCCCTTTATCTATCTAAGTTCTATTTTTTTATAGGTTGGGTTTGGGGTCTTTGATGAAGATCTTGTTGAGGATGGCATGCTAGAGTGATCTTGGAGGAGGTTTGAGGTTTTGCTTTGCTAAAGAGGTAACCCTATGTCCATGAAAACCTACTTTAACTCTATAATGTGTATTCTTGGTGTTCTTGATGAATATGAGCATGATCTTGTGTTTATGCTTATTTTAGATCTTCTATCTTAGGTGTATACTTGTGTTTGATGTGCCATTTCTTCTATTCAAGTCATATTTGTTGTTGGTATGAGTGTTGTTGAGTTTAGACATGGATTTCACATTCTTGGCATTTTTCCCGAGTTAAATTTCACTCCACGGTTATGTACTAGCGGGGGTTTCGGGCGAGCGGTGGCACACCCGCCGGTTACGTTGGTCACAAAGGGGGTTCTGGCGGGTGCTTTGGGTCCCGCTGGAACCACCCACTGGTATGCCAGGGAGTTTCGGTGGAACCTTAAGTACCCACCCAAACCGCCCACTGGTACGGTTTTTGTTGGCTTCTTGATTTGTTATCTCCGGTGTATTTGTGAGTATTTATTGATGTTACGTAAGTCTATAGCGGCATATTATGAACTCAATGGTTAGGTTGTGAGTCTTGAATCGTGGTTAAAATCTAATATTGATATTCGTTAAATTATTGATGAAGTTTATGATGTTCGTATGAACCCTTGTGATTACGCTTTGGCTTGTGTACTAGTAACGTTGTTTCTTGGTGCTTGTATAACTCCTTGTGTAACACCCCAGATTTTCGAAACTTTTGAAACTTATGTAAAGAAGGTAAAATCTCATTAAATCCCAAAACATAATATAAAGAGTACAGGGTGCTATGCCACACCTGAGCTAGAGAACTCAGGTGCACAGGCTAACTAACTAATATCCTCAACAAAGTAAATGCATAACCGTGGCACGCAGGCCGAAAGGGAAACTATCTACTTCTATGCTCCACGATTCTAGCGCGCTCCAGTGTCTATTCTTCTGTGCTTGAAAGCCAAATATATCTGTTCAGCGAGAGATGCTGGTAACCCACTCTAACGCGTTGAAATACAATACATATAGATATATACATAGTTATACGAAAAACCATTTCGAAGCATGAAGATATATCCTAAGAGACTCTAGTTTTCAAAACAGGGAATAGACTCAATAGATAGAGCTTAGCATAGACAACGGTCAAAATCAAGCATATATACTTCATAAGCATAGGGAAACAGGCAAGGCAGATAAAGATAAGCACAGTTAATATCCATAACCCAACATATACGATTCCCGGCATAAATCCCAGAGTCACCTCCCGAGATATTCATAACAACAACTCATCCATATCTCATCACATAGCACACTTTGTTGGCGCCACAGGACCAATCGCATGCCCATACATGAGGGTCAGCGCATATAGCTCTGACACGGCCCCGCAGCACCCTGCCCCGTATCGCAACACGGAGGGGTCGATCGCAACCGACCGATGAGCCGTAGCTCATCATAGTTTGATCACAACCAAACAGTGGACCGCAGCCCAAGAGTATGTCATCTGACCGCAGCCAGGAAATATGAACCGCAGCTCATGTAGAAACGTTTGATCGCAACCAAACGGTGGACCGCAGCCCTATATAATATTTATATACCTGACCGATCGCAACCGGCCTGGTTAACAGTCAGTATGGTTTTCAACCCATCCAACTGCCCGTATAGCCAATTTGATCGCAACCAAATTGGGGTATCATGCACACATAACACATAGCAAGTACATGCAACCCACATTAACACATTGGGATGGGGGAGAAACGTATAACAAAACCTATGCATGATCCTTCACATACTAAGAATAATCCTAGGGGTTCATACTTCTTTCACCTAGGTCAACGGGATGCCAATTCAACTAGCATGCAATATATAAGACTCATACGACCTACGAACGGTACCCGAAATATCAAACTAGACATAGGCACGATAGACGGAGTCCGTTGGGACACCACGGGGGTCGGGGGAACATCAAACGGGGAAGTCGGAAACCCGAGGTAGGGTATTTTCCAGCGGGTAGCCGGTGGGTGAGGGTTCACCCGCCGGCTGCCCGGCGGGCAGCTGCCCGCCCGCCGGCTGCCCGCTGCCGGCGTTGCCCAAATAGTCCGCGGGTAGGTGGCGGGTCCCCTACCCCCACCTACCCCCCGCTAACTCTTTTTCATCAAATAACGCCCCGGGAACCTTTGTGGAACTCGAAACCATGCTTAGCCACTTTCAAACGCAATTGATAACACACGTAGACAATTAACGGATCAAAATCAAGAAACATACGGCACATAACCTATCATGCTTTTCTAAACATAATCAACACCCAAACATACAAATTCCCACCCAATCTACCAAGAATAATACCATACGAATTCCACGATATAACCTAGGGTTCTAATTATTTTTAAATCAACAAGAACACAATTCATCTTCTAATATCAAGATTCGGTAGGAATATCATATAAACATCGAGAACATCATATAATCATCAAGAACATCAAGAACACCATATAATCATCAAGAACCTCTTATCATCAAGATTACCCATGGAATTATATCACCAATTATCAGGATCATTATAACGAATCATCAACACACAAGAATATTGGGGAAATCCTAAGAGGGGAATCATAGCTATGAAAATAGGTTTTGTTGAGACATGGGTTACCTCTTAGCCTTAATTAATTCCTTGGCTATGAAGGGTAACTCTTTAAGCTTTCTTCTTTCTTGATTTCTCATAGGGGAATTCTTGGAACTTCTTGTGTGGTGAGGGATTATTGTGGTGGGGGGTTCTAGGTGCCTCTTAAGTCCCCTATTTATATATTTAGGAGTCCTAATTAGGAACTAATATTATAGGCTTGCTAATTCTCTTCCTTTTAGGGCTAGGGGTTGGGTTTTAGGGGTGATGGCCCACGGACCATGGTGGGCCTTTTCCCTAATTAATTATTGTAATTTAATTCTTTCTTTGGATAATTGGTTAATTGATTAATTGGGTTTAGGGGTCGTAACACGGGGTGTTACACTCTCCCCCCCTTAACGGGAAGCTTCGTCCCCGAAGCTTGTTCTTGTCGGGCGACTCCCTCTTGGTTACCTGGTGTGAAGAGTTCGGGGTAGCGTTCCTTCATTGTGTCCTTGAATTCCCATGTTGCTTCTTCGGTCCCATGGTTGGTCCAGAGGACTTTTACCATTTCTATGGCCCGACGACGAGTGGTTCTTGTCTTGGTGTCCAGGATTCTTACGGGTCTTTCTTCGTATGCAAGAGACTCGTCGAGGTCCACGACCTCGGGTTGTAGCACGTGGCTTGGGTCGTGCACGTATTTCTTTAGCTGGGATGTGTGGAATACGTTGTGTACTCTTTCTAGTTCGATGGGTAGAGCGAGGCGGTAGGCTAGATTCCCGACCCTCTCTATGATTTCATAAGGGCCGATGAATCGGGGGCTGAGTTTTCCTTTTCTTCCGAATCTCATTACCCCTCGTGTGGGTGAGATTCTCAACCAAACCTTGTCCCCGGGGTTGAATTCAGCTTGTTTTC